AACTTAAGATATTCTGCTAAAGGCTATCTCTTCTCCTCTCCTGTCGCAATGAAGACATTGTGTTTGCACCATGCTGCCATCTGAAGTCTTCCTATTACACACCCCTTAGAACCCTGAAGTCACACGTCAGCTGCCAGAGTTGGTGGCCTTTCCTCCCAGCTTACACCATGTAGTTGACACTGTCTCCTAGCACGGCATGTCCCACGTCCAAAAAGAAATACTATCGCCTAGTCCCACATCCAGAGTATGTTAAACAAACACATAAAAGAATCCATAAATTGACCATCTGTATTATTTAGCTTTTTGTGACTACAACAAAATATCTACAGCAGGCCACTTTATAAAGAAAAGAGATACATTTTGGCTCATGGTTCCAGAGGTCAGTGGTCCAAGATGGGTAGGCCTCTTGTGTTTGGCCTCTAGTGATGGCAGTCTCACTGGCAAAGTCCCAAGGTGGTACAGAGTACCACATGGCAAGAGACAGGGAGTGTGTATGTCTATGTCTTTTCTTCTTACAACATTATCAAGATTCAAGCACAGCGGCTCTACTTTAAAGTTCTAATCCAACAAGAACCACTTTCCAAAAGTCCCACTTTGTAGCTACTTTTAATTGAAAAAAGTTTCTACTTTCTTAACACCATTAACACGTGACTTTGGGGACTAAACTCTTGAGTTCAATATTCAAATCATAGCACCAACCAAAGAGGAATTTTATGTGTAAAGGGAAAATATCCTTGCAAAGTAGCTGAAAAAAAATTATGGAAAATTTTTTTTAAAGAATTAAGAAAATAATGCAAATTTGAACATTATCATAATTACTATAATCATCAGAGGTCAACAATATCCTCTCTGAAGGGAAATATGAGAGCAGACACCCAGTGAGGTGGTAATGAGGATGAGGGTGAAAAGAGCTGAGACCCGGCCAGTGCCATGGCTCACTAGGTTAATCCTCCATCTGCAGTGCCAGCATCCCATATGGGCGCCAATTTCTAGTCCCAGTTGCTCCTCTTCCAGGCCAGCTCTCTGCTGTGGCCCGGGAGGGCAGCGGAGGATGGTCCAAGTGCTTGGGCCCTGCACCCCATGGGAGACCAGGAGGAAGCGCCTGGCTCCTGGCTCCGGACTGGCATAGCTCCAGCAGTAGCAGCCATTTGGGGGAGCGAACCAATGGAAGGAAGACCTTTCTCTTTCTTTCTCTCTCTCTCTCTCTCTCTCTTTCACTGTCTAACTCTATCTGGCAAATTTAAAAAAAAAAAAAAAAAAAAAGGAAGAGCTGAGACCATCAGCTGGGCTTCAATCCCGACTCCAGTGCCACTACCTAACAAGGTGACCTCAGCCAGCTCACTGAAACTCTCTGAGCATCAATTTGCTCCTCACACCACACACCATAATAGCAGTCCATCCCTCATGAGGCTGCTGGAAGGAACCTGTGCTTAGAAATGGACCAACACCTCGTTAGGACTGACTAATGTTGATATTCTCCCTTTAAGGACTCATTCTGAAGAGACAGACACTCTACACAGGCCTGGAGTTCTGCAGTCTGTGTGGGAGCTCTCATACGATGTCAAGAGGCTGCCCTCACATTGCCTCTTACACAGAATTCCCATTTGCACACTGCAACAGAATGAATGTTATACCCTCCCAAAATTCGTATGTTGAAACATTTTTAAAAAGATATATTTATTTATTTAAAAGGCAGTCATCATGGGAGAGGATGGGATTTTCCATCTGCTGGCTCACTTCCCAAATGGCCAGGACTAAGCCAGGAGGCAGGAACTCCATCTAGGTCTCTCACATAAGTAGTAGGAATCCAAGTACTTGAGCCACCTTCCACTGCTTTCCCAAGTGCATCAGTAGGCAGCTAGATTGGAAGCAGAATAGCTGGCACTCGAACCAGTGCTCTGACAGTGGCTTAACCCACCATACCACAATGCCAGCCTCCGTATGTTGAAATCTTAACTCCCAAGGCCATGGAATGAGGACGTGGGGGCCTTTGGAGGTGATTGAAGTCATGAGGTTCCACCCTCGTGAATGGGATTAGCACCCTTACAGAAAAGGCCCCATGGGAGAACATGCGCCACTATGGGTTCAATTGCCACTTGGGACACCTGCATCCCACATTGGAGTGCCAGTTCAAGTCCTGGCTACTCTGCTTCTGGTTCAGCTTCCAGCCAAGGCATCCTGGGAGGCAGATGATGGTTCAAGTGTGTGGGGAGCAACCCGGACTGGACTGAGTTACTGGAATTAAGACTTATTCTATGCATCTGCTCTCCCACAATATGGCGCTGAGAAGGGAAACAGCTTCTACACAGCTGCCTCCAGTTCAACCAATAAACTGTGGGACCTGCTCCTGATTGGAGGAGAGCAGCGTACTCGGCGTGTGGGTAACAGAGTTGGGATTGGTGGAAGAGGACTATAAAGGAGGAGAGAGACGGCATGCACCAGGAACATCTAAGGGGAACATCTAAGGGGAACACCTGTGCAGCCCCCAAGAGAGCCGGCCGGCGGTGTGCCGCTCCCCTGCGGAAGTGGGGAATGTGGCCAGGGGGAACCGCCCTTCCACGGAGGTGGAGGGGACAGTAGCCAACCCGGGAAGAACCAGCAGCAAACCCGGGGAGGGCCGAGCAGACGAAAGAACAGCGCAGGGTCCTGTGTCGTTCCTCCATGAAGAGGGGGAGCGACATAATGGTGCCGTGACTCGGATGTGAAGCCTAGGCAGGGTTTAGTGTCGTTCCTCCATGAAGAGGGGGAGCGACATAATGGTGCCGTGACTCGGATAGGAAGCCTAGGCAGGGTTTAGTGTCGTTCCCCCATGAAGACGGGGAGCGACATAATGGTGCCGTGACTCGGATAAGAAACCTAGGAGGGAAGAAACGGGAAGAAGTGGAAAATGCCAGAGAGAGAGACTAGCAAACAGCCTAGGGAAAAGCCGGACGAGAAAGGTGCCAGAAGAAGCTATTGAAAGCCTAGGCAGAGACTCGGATATGGACTGTGGGAAAGAAGTTAGGATTTAAAGTGAAAGCAAGAAGAAACTTAAACTCAGATACGGACTGCAGGTTGAAAGTGAAAGTGAAACCTATAAGAAACTTAGACTTGGATACGGACTGTGGGGAGAGGCCAGGAGAAATGAGGGAGGCATATTGTTGGAAGAAAACTTAGGGAAACATACCGGGTAGAGAAAAATGTTAGGGAGGATGAAGCCGCGAGTGCAGGCCGAGGCGGAAACGTAAGCCAGCTTGGAATTCTTCAAGTCACCCTGGGGAGCAAAAGGCGAAGATCTGGAACCAGAGGCAGAGACGTGGGCCGCCAGGTTGGAATTCGCCAGGTTAGTCAGGGGAACTTGGATTGAATGCTAGTGGCGGAGACGTAAGCTACGCTGTGTGACTCGCGGAAGCCGCCGTGTGCAGAGAGAGCACGGGGCGTGAATAGATAGGGAACGCGGGGCTGGCGCGAGGCCGTGGTGCGGACGCGAAGGGCGTGGAGACGGCGGAGCACGCGAAGCCAAGCCGCGCAAAGCCGGGAAGCTGCGCAGATGGGAGAAGCGCGGGCTGAGGCAGCTCAGAGCCGGGAAGCCGCCAAGAAGCAGCCTCGGGGCGGGCGCCGGGAAGCCACAGGGATAAGAGAAACAGACATTTAGAAGTAAAATGAGAGAAATAGGAATGCTGGTAGATAGAAGTAAAATAGGAGAAATAGGAATGCCCGGAGATAGAGAAATAGAGAAAGGCCTCCCCACAACACAGCAATGAGAGAGCTTGGATTCGGTCTGCCTGATTAGGACGATAAGCACCTGTGGGCGGCTAGCAGCTTATGCGCCGCAGGTCACCGAAGACAGGCACGAATTAACACCAATAAGTCTCCCCACAATACGGCAATGAGAAGGCTTGGGTTCGGTTTGCCTGATAGGACTTGTAAGCACCTGCAGGCAGAGCAGAGCATGCGCTGCAGGGCACCGAACACAGGCACGCATCAGTGCCTAAAAACCTCCTCACAACATGGCGAAGAGAGGACCCGGATTCGGTTTGCCTGATTGATAGGACTTGTAAGCACCTATGGGCAACTCTAGCAAGCAGAGCAGAGTGTGTGCCGCGGGACACCGAAGACAGGCGCGTATCAACGCCAAAAAATAAAAAGAAAGGGGGATCTGTGGGGAGCAACCCGGACTGGACTGAGTTACTGGAATTAAGACTTATTCTATGCATCTGCTCTCCCACAATATGGCGCTGAGAAGGGAAACAGCTTCTACACAGCTGCCTCCAGTTCAACCAATAAACTGTGGGACCTGCTCCTGATTGGAGGAGAGCAGCGTACTCGGCGTGTGGGTAACAGAGTTGGGATTGGTGGAGGAGGACTATAAAGGAGGAGAGAGACGGCATGCACCAGGAACATCTAAGGGGAACATCTAAGGGGAACACCTGTGCAGCCCCCGAGAGAGCCGGCCGGCGGTGTGCCGCTCCCCTGCGGAAGTGGGGAATGTGGCCAGGGGGAACCGCCCTTCCACGGAGGTGGAGGGGATAGTAGCCAACCCGGGAAGAACCAGCAGCAAACCCGGGGAGGGCCGAGCAGACGAAAGAACAGCGCAGGGTCCTGTGTCGTTCCTCCACGAAGAGGGGGAGCGACACAAGTGGGTGAGTTCTTACCACCCATGTGGGAAACCTGGATAGAGTACTAGACTCCTGGCTTCAGCCTGAGCCAGCCCTTGCTGTTGTGGCCATTTGGGGGTGTGAACCAGCAGATGGAAGATGTCTCTCCCTTTCTCTCTGTTGCTCTGCCTTTCAAGCAAATGAAAACAAATAAACTTTAAAAGAGGCACTACAGAGCTCCTTGGCCTCTTTCACCATGTGAGAAACATGAACCTGGAAATCACTAAACACTAAATTAATATACAACTGGATCTTGGACTTCCAGTGCCCATGACTGTATAGGCAAATTTCTCTTGTTTAGAAACCATGCGGTGTATGGTTTTCTGTTATAGTAAGACATAGCTTTGGTTCTCTGTCACTCACCAGGGCCACGGTGTCTTCTCAACAGCTCCACCATCCAGGGTGCCTTCCCTTTCTCTAATAAGGTGATGACATTTGGTCTCCGAAAGGAAAGACCTGCAAACAGGACAAACATGGAGACTGACAAGATGTGAGCACCACGGAAGTTAGAGCCAAACCCAGTGTCAACGGGTTTTATCAGCATAACGTAAGTACACAGGACAGAAAGGGCAGGTAGAGAATGGGGAGTGTTATGTTGTGATGTGTAACATGAAATATATACTGGGTTTTCATCCCTGCCTCGTGGCACACAGCTCCCAAATTCCTTAGGCTCTTCAAAGTGATAGGGGCATCTTTGTAGGCTAATGAGTAATTGGTGGTCAAGGCCCATGAACACCCTCAGCATGGGCTGGTTGTCTGTGAAACAACCTTGTGATTAAAGGGTGGGAAGCTTTATCCCCCTCTGACCTCCTAAGATGGGAGAGGGACTGGAGACTGAACTGATCACCAAGGGCCAATGGCTGTAATCAAACATAATGAAACCTCCACAAACCCAAAATGCTCTCCAAACCTTCTGAGTGGCTGAATACACAAAGGGCAGCACACCCAGAGAGGACACAGAAGCTCCGTGCCACTTCCCCATCCTCTATCCAGTGCATTTCTTCCATCTGGTGTTCATCTGTATCTTTTGTAATATCTTTTATACTAAACCCAGGAAAGTATTTTCCTGAGCTCTGGGAGCTGCTCTAGTAGATAACCAAACTCGAGGAAAAAGTAATAGGATATGCCAGTTTATTGTCAGTCAGTCAGAAGTCCAGAAGCCTAGAGTTATAATTTGTGTTTGAAGTGGGACAGTCTTTTGGGACTAACCCTTTAACTGTGGGATCTGATGCCATCTCCAGGTACGGTCAGAAATGAATTAAACCAGAGGATACTTAGTTGGTTGACTACACATGAAAAACAATTTAGTTTTTTAAATTTCACACAGAGAAGATGAAAATTCAGTTATAGCCAGTAGAGTTGCTTATTTCTAACTCTACAAAGCAATTATTTTCCTGGAAATTGGGTAAGACACTCTTGAGGCTGATTATAAAGTTGCCCCTATCCTTCTATGCTCTGTGTTATGAGGCCAGGGCTAGGGCTCTGCAATCCACACCTCCCCCTCACCAGCTGCTTCTGTTCACTGTCCACTAATACAGCCTATGTTGGTTTCAATTTCTAGTTTTTTTTTCTAAAGATTGTTTGTTTGTTTATTTATTTATTTATTTATTTTTGAGAGACAGAGTTACAGTCAGAGAGAGCAAGAGACAGAGAGAAAGATCTTCCATCTGCTGGTTCACTCCCCAGATGGCCACAATGGCCAAAGCTGGGCTGATCCAAAGCCAGGAGCCAGGAGCCCCCTCCGGGTCTCCCACATGGGTGCAGATGCCCAAACACTTGGGTCACCCACCACTGCCTTCCCAGGTCATAGCAGTGAGCTGACTGGAAGAGGAACAGCCAGGACATGAACTGGCTCCTGTATGGGATGCCTGCGAGGCAGGTGGAAGCTTAGTCTACTGCGCCACAGCACCGGTCTCTAGTTTTGTTTCATAAGCTCCCAGAACTAGCTCATCTTGATCCCTTAAAAATAAAAACAAACCAGGCAGCGCATCCCACCACCCTTTCATAAGCCTGAGTCCCAGCTCTGTAGAGCCTTCTAATTCTTAAAAACCTCAAACTCTTCCAGTTGTACCTCAAGCCCCAGGGAGGGTGGCAGTGTCCTACAATTACCCTCTCTGTGTTCCATCAGTGTCTACGATGAGCCTTTTAACACCAACTGTTAAATCAACTGCTTGTGAAATTTTCTCAAAACAACTGGGGTGTCCTCAAAAAGTTACACACAGGAGCCAGCACTGTGGCATAGCAAGTAAAGCCACTGCCTGTGGTGCCAGCATCCCATATGGGCACCAGTTCAAGTCTTGGCTGCTCCACATCTGATCCACCTCTCTGCTATGGCCTAGGAAAGCAGTAGAAGATGGTATAAGTGCTTGGGCCCATGCACCTGCGTGGGAGACCTGGAAGAATCTCCTGGCTCCTGGCTTTGGATTGGTGCAGCTTTAGCTGTTGCAGCCATTTGGTGAGTGAACCAGAGGACAGAAGACCTTTCTCTCTGTCTCTCCCTCTCTCTGTAATTCTACCTCTCAAATAAATAAAATCTTAAAAAACAAAAAAGAAAAGAAAAAAACCTTTCAAGCAATGTCTTCATGTTTCTAAAGTTACACATACAGCCAACATTGTGGCACAGTAGGTTAAGCTGCTGCCTGCATCAGTATTCCATAGGAGCACTGGTTTGAGTCCCTGTTGCTCCACTTCCAATCCTTCTCCCTGCTAATGCACTCGGGAAAGCAGTGGAAGATGGCCCAAATGCTTGGGCCCCTTCTATCCCCGAAGGAGACCTGGATGGAGCTTCAGGATCTTGGCTTTAGCCTGGCCTATCCCTAGCTCCAGCGGCCACCTGGGAGTGAACCAGTGGATGAGATCTATTTATCTATCTATCTAACCTCCCCCACCCCGACACACACTCATAATGTTGCTTTCAAATAAATAAATAAATCTTTTTTAAAAAAAGTTACACATAGAATTTCCGTATGACTTAACAATTCCACTCTTAGGTATCTACCCAAGAAAAATGAAAACAAATACACACACAAAAACTAGTACTTGAATATTCACAGCAGTGTGTTCACAATAGCCAGAGAGTGGAAACAACTCAAATGCCCATCAGTAGATGAACTGATAAAAAAAAAAAAGTGACCTAGCCACACAGTGTAATATTATTCATCAATGAAAAGGAATGAGGTACATACTCCAATGTGGGTAACCTCAAAAACATTATGGTAAGTGAAAGAAGCCATATATTTATGATTCCATTTGTAAACATCTAGAACAGTCAACCCTACAGCGACAGAAAGTAGACTGCTGGTTGTCTAATTTGGGGGAATGAGGGAATGAAAAGTAACAGCTAAGGGGTTATCAGTGTCTTCTGGGGGAAGTGGAGGAGAGGGACAGGGAGGGAGAGTGCCCTGGTCTACTGCTTTACTACTAGAATGCCTGAAATGGCCAGGGCTAGGCAGGGAAAAGATGGAAGCCAGGAACACATTCCAGATAATGGCAGGGACCCAATTACTTAAGCCATCACTGCTGCTTCCTAGGGTCTATATTATCTGGAAGTAGAAGTCAAAAGCCACAGCTGAAAAACTGAATCCATGCACTGTGATACAGGATGCAAGCAACTTAACTGCAGGGAGAAACATCCACTCTGAAAATTTTCTAAGACCGCAATGATGGATGCACAACTCCAAATATACTAAAAACCAGTGAAGTATATATTTCATACAAGGGGATTGTACAGTATGTGACTTACAGCTCAATGGGACTATTAAAAACACACAAACTGGAGTAACTTCTGTATACCAGGCTGGACCAGACCTGACTGACATACCCCTGGACAGGCTAGTTCTAGATTAAGGGGCAGGAAAGCCTTACCGAGGGAAACCAGGTTCTGGTAGTTCTCCAACATGACTTCTTCATACAAATCCTTCTGAATGGGACTCAGCCATTCCCATTCCTCCTGGGAGAAGTAGATGGCCAAGTCTCCAAATGTCACTGGTGCCTGAAATGTAAAGTCACATGTCCAGTCCTACCATGAGTTTGTGTTTTCACACAGCTGAAAAAAAACAGTGAACTCATCTCAAACATGGAATCTTTTGAGGTTCGAAGGCCAAAAAGGGCAAGTGTATTAAATAAAGTTAAGTACAATACAATGTGATTTGTGTAGCTGTTATTAAAGATTATGTTGCATAAAAGCACAGCAACTTGGACCTATTGGGCATTTACAAAGTTACTGTACTTTTCTAAGCACCCAACTGTCCTGGCTCATTTAGTGCTCATGCTAACCAACAAAGAAACACTAACAACAGAATCAGAGTGATGATACAGGTGACAAACCGAAGCCCAGCGAGATGAGGCAACTGACTGAAGACCTTACAGCTAGCAACTGGTGAGCTGGGGTTCAACCCGGACAATCTGGTTCCCAACTCAAGCTGCTAATCACATACTCTCTAAAGATCATGTGACCATGGTAGAAAAGGGTCTCAGCAAGTGTAATTAGTTACCAACCAGTTGATCCTAACTTAGGCACATTACCCTGAACTCGACCTGGCTGGCTTGCCTACTCATTGTTGCTGGTTTAAAGGCAGGAAAAAGGGATCACAAGGAAAGCATGAGAAGAACTGAATTCTGCCAAAAACCAGCATGCATGGAAGAGGACCCCAAGTGAGAACACAGCCAGTTGACACCCTGATTTCATTGGAGACCTGACTAAACCACGGTGCCTGTACCCTGACCCATGAAATTGCACAAGAAATGTATACTGTTCTGAGCTGTAGAAATTATGGTAAATTTGTTATAGCAGCAAGAGGAAACCAATGCACAGAATTTGGAAGGCAAATGTGTTTCTTTCAGGAAACTGAATTAAAGGCGCCTATTCTGGAAAAGTACTTGATCATCTCCAGTGGTGAGGCTCACTGGTCTCAGGAGACTGACCCTGCCCTCACTGCCCTGGCTCCATTCAATAGAAGGACTGTGCAGTGCTAGCTAGACAGAGCTCCATGCAAATATGGGTTCATAAGAAGCAGCAAGCGACATGACAGCATTAAGCATGGAGCAAACATGGAATGTCCCTGCCTCAGCAGGTCCCATCTCGGCATGTACCCCGCTACGCGCACACACACACAGAAATCACAGGGGCTCTTGGCCCTCCAGGAATAGCATTTATCCCAGCCTAGACAGATTCCTGGAAATGAAAAAAAAAGGCAGGTGGTCATGCACACACTGAGGGGGACAGAGAAAGGACTGCTGGTGGCTTCCTGGGCTGCTGGGCCCTTCTCAGCTCCCATCCTCTATGGTGACAAAACCAGGGACCAGGGGTTGGTGGGCGCCCAATGGGCAGGAAGTCTCCAAAACTGGACAGCAAATGCCCCACATATTACAGGGTAAGATAAAATGCTCCTGAAGAAAGAGGAATCACCACTTACCTTGGATTTCAATTTCCCTCGTACTACAGGCATTCTTCCCTCCCCCTTGAAGGTCCACATTTGGAGAGGAGCAGTGTCCAGGAGGGCAGGGCTGGGGACAAGAGAGATCATGAGGTCCTCTCCTGTGGGTGGTCCCAGAGTCTCCAGACCTCTCAGCTGGACACATATGTGCGTGCATGCATACCTACAAACAGAAGCCAGAACACCTGTCGCTTTCCTGTGCTCTCCTGGGGTCAGATAAGGGCACAGTCAACATACTGAGTTCCCAAGAGTACAACAGGCTACTGATCAGGAGACAAAAGAGCAATGCGCACACCTGGCCATCCATCGGACAACTATTTACTGATTGTCTGTTGGGAACCAGGTGCTGGGAGACCAGAGTTGGAAAACGTCAAATCCAAGCACCTTACACGTCAGCAGGGAGAAGCGAGTCCATACAGAGTACAGGCATAGCTGAAGTTATCCCTATGAAGGAAGGGAGACGGAGTGGCAGGTCAGTCAGGGAAGGCCTCTGCAGGGCGGCAGTAGTGGGCTGAGGTCCAAATGGAGTGTGAGCCACGATGGTGAGGGCAAGAGCATCTGGGCAGAGGCACCGCAGGTGCACAGGTGCTGTGGCGTGGGCAGGTTTGGGTGTGGAAGCAAGCCAGGAGGTGGGGGCGAGAGAGGCCAGGGCAGGAAGAGGGTGGCGATCAGTGTGGATCTGACAGCAACCGTGACAAGACATCGCGGGGAGAAGAGGGGGAGAGCTGAGCAGAGGAGTGACACAAGTCCACCTAACTTCCCACACAGCTCTTTGGGGCGGCTATGCGGCAAATAAACTGCGCGTTGCGAGGAGGAAAGGCGGGAGCAAACACTGAAGGGAGGCCCACTAGACAGCTGTGCTTAAATCTGGGGGTCGGGGGGCTGGCGCTGCGGCAGGAGGGCTAGCCAGGAGCCCTGGTCGGTGGTCAGCGAGAACCAGCTACACGCCGACACAGCGCTCGCTGCGTGCCGGGCTCCGGATCCCAGCGCGGCCCCCCGCCACCCCCAGGCGGTGAGCTTTTCTCCTTCACCCGGGAAGAAAGCCTCCAACAACCGGGCGGTTTCCGTTTCCCGGAGCGGCCGCTCGGAATTCTCCTCAGGGGAGCCGGTCTGCAGCGCCAGCGAGCACGGGGACCCCCGCGCGCTGACCCACGCCGCGCCAGCCCCTCTCCCTCCCTCACCACACACCCACCCACCTTCCTTCTCCCGCAGGCGCGCCGTGACGCACACACACAGGCCGACTCCGCGGCGCCCCGCACCTCACGCCCGGAGCGCACCTCACGCCCGGAGCGCACCTCACGCCCGGAGCCCACCTCACGCCCGGAGCGCACCTCACGCCCGGAGCCCACCTCACGCCCGGAGCGCACCTCACGCCCGGAGCGCTCCTCACGCCCGGAGCGCACCTCACGCCCGGAGCGCACCACACCGGCGCGGGGTCCGGGGAACAACGCGTCAGCACGCAGAGGCGCCCCACAGGGCACTCGCACAACCCAGCGCAAAAGCAAACCCCAGGCGGCCGCCGGACCACGGCGCCAGCAGCTCACCTCCGTCCTCGCAGTCCGAGCCCCCGGGAAAACCCACGCAACCAGCCCGGCAGCAGCCCCGCGGCGCGGCGCTCCCTTGCGCCTGCGCACTCCCCTCCGGGACCCCCGAGCCCCAAGCGCCGGCCCCGCCCCCTCCCACGCGCAACACGTAGGCGGACGCACGGCCCCGCCCCCAGGGCGGTCCCGGACGCGCGAGGCCCCGCCCCCAAACAAGCCCCACGCGGAGCGCCCGCGCCAGCCCTCCCCTCTCCCGGAAGTGGCCCCGAGACTGAGGCGTCGCCCTCCTCACGCGTGACAGCTTGCCGCGGCGCGAGGACACACGCTCAGGCCCTCCTCGTACGCACGCACCCAACAGCCCCAGCAGCCCTTGCTGCGGACCCCACGGCTCTGCCCTGCCTGGAGCCGACGCGGACTCGCACGCCCGCGCATGCGCACCACGAACTCAGCCTGTGACTCCCAGGAGCCTTCGGGGTGAGGGGCGGCTACAGGCCGCCGCGCTCTGACCTGCCGGTGAGGTTCCGCGGGCCGCGCCGGCTGTGAGCCGTCGGGTCCGGAGACCAGGCGACCCCGGAGAGGAACGGAGGGGCGTTCCTGCAGGCCGGGAGTAAGGACTGTCGCCGGCGCCTTGATAGAATGAGAAGCCCCAGCAGCCTTTGCGGCTCCTGGACTACATTTCCCAGAAGCCCTCGCGGCCCGCGGCTGCGCCGGGCGGTGTTGCGCCTGCGCGGCCGGTGGGCCGACTGGCGGCCTTGCGGATGAGGCGACTCCGAGGATGGACGCGAGGAGGTGGGGAGGGTCCTGAGGCGCCTACCGCGAAGGCCTTTGAAGTGACCGTGGCGAGATTATGAGTCTCGTGCGAGCAGGTGTGAGCTGTGGCCCCGCTTGGGCTGCCGAGACTGTGGCGGGTTGTGACTGCGGGGGTGTGGGGGGGTCTACACTGCGGCTGCTACGTTCGGGATCGTATTTTACCCGATACTACACATTATTTGAGCTTCCAGGATTTTCTCTACCTCCCGATTTCACCGGAGGTGAAGGGTGCGTGTTTTAGGAGCTCAGGTATGGAATGGCTAAGTTCTGCCATCGGTAAAATCGGCATTTTTCTCTCGTAAGTGTCCCAGGCCTTTATTTGTGGCGTGAGCTGGTGGATGGGCGCTCTCCACCACCGTCTCTGTATCTGCTTCTGAAACAAGCAAACGAAAATGAATAAATAACCATCACAGTCAGCGAAATAGGAGGCGAGCAGTAAATATGTGCAAACATCCAGTCAGAACAAAGTCAGTAGCTAGTGGGCCGTGGACCGCAGCCAGCTTCGGCTTCAAGGTGTGTTCACCAGCAGTTCCCATGCCTAAACAACAGGTGCTTTCCACATGAATTGGGGTTTCTTGAAAAGTCTCTCAAGAGAGACGAACTCTGGGTCTCGATCCACTTTGCTGGAGATTTATGGTAGCTCCCACAGTCCTGTTGACGCCCTGTCTGACCCCCGGCCGGTCTCCCTTGCAGCTTCTGCCGGGCGCCTCCTGGAGCTCAGTTTGAGAAAGCGGTGGGGAAGCAGCTGCACTTCTGCGTTTGTTCGAGCAATAGCTGGATGTGGCCAGCAGGTGGCAGCCAGCGTCTGTGTTCTACGTCTCCCTTGAGGCCCTCAGATCCGGGGTGGAAGAATTACATGACCTGAAGGGTGGGTTTCAAAGCTGCTTACTGGCCGGGGAGGAGGTGGGAGGCCAAGGGCAGGACTCTGTGTCCTGGGCCTCGGGGAGACACCCAAACTAATGTGGAAACCATAACAAAACTGGGCTAAATACCCCTCTCCTTAGGAGCTTGCCTGAGGAATTTTGTAACTGAAAGGGTTTTTTTTTCAATGTTAAACATTTTTTATTTGGAGTAATTTTATATTCACAGAGAAGTTGTAATGATGGTATAGAGAGCTCCTGTATATCCCTAACCCCACCTCTCCTATTCATAGCTCATGTCATCACAATATTTTTGCCGAACTAAAATGTTAACATTGGTACAATAGATTCAAAAGGCTTCCATAGCCTAGGCAGCTCATGTCAAGAGCCTGGGGTGACCACTGACGTCATACGTAAGCGTGTTAACTGTTAAATTAACAACAGGACTCACTGTGTGCTAGCTTTCCATGCAGGATCTCTGTCCTCAAAGAGTTGTATTATGAGAGTTAACAGTAAAATTTGTTCTCAAAGATTTATCTCATTCTAGTGTATTAAATGGAGGATGTTCTTATGCCTAGCTACTGACTTCTGCACTGGATGTTTTTACATATTTACTGCTCGCCTCCTATTTCGGTGACTGTGATGGTTATTTATTCATTTTTGTTTGCTTGTTTCAGAAGGCTTGGGTTACGGGTAGAAACTGGCTGTTTAGTTCAATTGAAATTTAAAATTGACACATTCAGTTATTGGACAGGTATTTTGGAGCAGTTTAGAACTGTGACTCTACTCTTCCACTGTAAATTCTGTGTTCCATAATTTGAAGAAAATTTAGCATTCAAATTGAGATGTGCCATAAGGAAGAAATACACGCTTAATACAGATTTGATACAAAAAGAATATAATTGACCTAATTAATAATTTTTAAATCTCTTACATATTGGAAGGATAATTTTGAATATTTTTAGTTAAATCATATATTATTTAAATTGCTTAATCTGTGGGGTTTTTTTTTTTTTTTTTTTTTTTTTTTTTTTGGACAGGCAGAGTTAGAGAGACAGAGAGAAAGGTCTTCCTTTTCCGTTGGTTCGCCCCCAAGTGGCCATGGCCGGCGCACTCCAATCCAAAGTCAGGAGCCAGGTGCTTCCTCCTGGGCTCCCATGCTGGTGCAGGGCCCAAGCACTTGGGCCATCCTCCATTGCACTCCCAGGCCACAGCAGAGAGCTGGACTGGAAGAGGAGCAACTGGGACAGAACTGGCACCCCAACCAGGACTAGAACCTAGGGTGCTGGTGCCACAGGCAGAGGAATAGCCTAGTGAGCCGTGGTGCCTGCCTTGTTTTTTTTTTTTTATGTGGCTTTTAGTTTATAACAGCTGTGGCTCCCATTAAATTTTTTTTAAAAGATTAATTTTATTTATTTGAAAGTCAGAGTTAGAAGGCCGGCACCACAGCTCACTAGGCTAATCCTCCGCCTGCGGCGCCAGCACACCGGGTTCTAGTCCCAGTCGGGGCACCGGATTCTGTCCCGGTTGCCCCTCTTCCAGGCCAGCTCTCTGCTGTGGCCAGGGAGTGCAGTGGAGGATGGCCCAGGTGCTTGGGCCCTGCACCCGCATGGGAGACCAGGAGAAGCACCTGGCTCCTGCCATTGGATCAGCGTGGTGCACGGGCCGCAGCAGCCATTGGAGGGTGAACCAACGGCAAAAGGAAGACCTTTCTCCCTCTCTCTCTCACTGTCCACTCTGCCTGTCAAAAAAAAAGAGAGAGGGAGAGGGAGAGGCCTTCCATCTGCTGGTTCACCCCTCCGATGGCCGCAACGACCGGAGCTGCACCCTTCTGAAGCCAGGAACCAGGAGCTTCCTTCGGGTCTCCCACACAGCTTAGGGGCCCAAGGACTTGGCCCATCTCCCACTGCTTTTCCAGGCCATGCAGACAGCTGGATTGGAAGAGGAGCAGCCGGGTCTTGAACTGGCACCCATAAGGGATGCCGGCGCTGCAGGCCAGGGCTTTAACCTGCTGTGCCACAGTGCCAGCCCCTCCCATTAGATTTTTATTAGACAATACCACCCCAGATAATATAATTAACCTTAATTGAGAACATACTGTGGGCTCTCTGTTTACTTTGTGCTGCTGTAACAGAGTAATTCATGCTGGGTAATTTATAAAGAGGAGAGGTTTATTCTTTCACAGTTCTGGAGGCTTGGGAGCCAAGAGAAAGGGGCCGGCGTCATGTGTCGGCTTTCCTGCTGCGCTTTCACAGGGCGGAGGTAGAAAGGCTCTTTTTCTAGCATTCATCCCCTCATGCCCTGAACACCTCCCAAAAGTCTCCACCTCCAACACTGTGCCACTGGGGAGTAGGTTCCTCCCCTCCCCTCCCCTCCCCTGCCCTGCCCTGCCCTGCCTTCCCTCCCCTCCCCTCCCCTCCCTTCCCTTCCCTTCCCTTCCCTTCCCTTCCCTTCCCTTCCCTTCTTTAAATACATATAGGTTTATTTGTTTATTTGAAGAAATTACACAGAGAGAGAAGGAGATGCAGAGAGGTCTTCCATCCGATGGTTCTCTCCCCAGTTGGCCGCAACGGCCAGAGCTGCGCCAATCAGGAGACAGGAGCTTCTTCCAGGTCTCCCACACGGGTGCAGGGGCCCAAGGACTTGGGCCATCTTCCACTGCTTTCCCAGACCATAGCAGAGAGCTGGATCGGAAGTGGAGCAGCCAGGATTTGAACCGGCGCCCATATGCGATGCCAGCGCTTCATTCCAGGGCATTAACCCGCTGCACCACAGTGCTGGCCTCAAGGGGAGTAGGTTTCTGAAACATGAATGTGGGGGGACACATTCGGATAATAGCAGTGCCAAGCATTATGTTGTATAACTATTATCTCATTCAAACCTTAACCCTGTGAGGTTGACTCAGTAGAATCTCTCTCTCTGTCTGAGACTTCACTATTTTTTTTTTAATATTTACCTTCATGGCCTCATTAGCTCATAGGCTGAATTTTTTTTTCAGAGTTATTTATTTATTCGAATGTCAGAGTTACACAAAGAAAGAAGGAGAAGTTGGGGCACTGCAGGTGGCAGCTTTAACTGCTATGCCACAGCTCCGGCCCCAAACCTGACTTTCTATGTGATCTCTGGATTCTCCAGCACCTTTGTAAAACATACCTGTGGATGTGGAGGGCTCAGCTAATGCCCATGGCTAGCATAACGCTTATCCAGTAAGCCTGCATCCTCTCACACCTGCCTTCCTTCTGTCAGTTCAGTTGTGTGATTACCAAGAGCAGGTTGTATTTTATTCCCAATTTTTCATGCTAATAGGATCTGTTTCAGTTAGGTAATACAATTAACTAACATAAACCATGAAAATATAGAGTACATAGGTGAATAACTACTTTTTTTTTTCAGGGGCAGAGTTACAGACAGAGAGAAGGAGAGACAGAGAGAGATGTCTTCCATCTGCTGCAATGGCAGGAGCTGGGCCAATCCAAATCCAGGAGCCAGGAGCTTCTTCCAGGTCTCCCATGCAGGTACAGGGGCCCAAACACGTGGGCCATCTTCTGCTGCTTTCCCAGGCCACCAGCAGAGAGCTAGATCAGAAGAGGAGCAGTTGGGACACAAACCAGTGCCCATATGAGATGCTGGTGCCACAGGCGAAGGCCTATTACACCAACAGCACCAGCCCTAGGAATTACTTTCATTGAAATAAACTTAAGTGATTGGGGAAGACAAGTTAAAGGCCAGTCATTAATAAAAATAATGGAAAAAATGTGTTAAATTCAAATTGCCAAGATAGGCACAAAAATGAGATTTTCCTCTTTTTAGTCTAAAAAGTTTCTGGGGCTGGCACTGTGGAATAAGCAGGTTAAGCCACCACCTGCTGTGCCAGCATTCCCATATGGGTCCTGGTTGCCCAACTTCAGATCCAGCTCCCTGCTAATGCACCTGGGAAAGCAGCAGAGGATGGCCCAAGTCCTTGGGTCCTTGCACCCATGTGAGACCCAGAGGAAGCTTCTGGCTCAGCCCTAGCCATTGCAGACATTTGGGGAGGAAACCAGCAATTAGAAGAGCGCTCGCTCGCTCGCTCTCTCTCTCTAACTCTGCCTTTTAAGTAAATAAAAGGGTTCTGTTTTCAAATTGCTTTACATGAAAGCCTGTGTTCCTGCTCCCTGTTTAGGGGACTAACTGGAAATTGCAAGTCCATAGACCCCATTAGGAATAAAAACAACAAAAACTGTTGGTCTTCTATCAACAGATTAGCAAATGAGTATATGTATATGTGTTAAAACAAAATGGTCAAAATATCTTTACCCATGGTAACCAACAGTTTGTTGAATGAATCAAATAATGGTTCTAATCGTGATGATGAGAGCTTATACTCTACTATCAAGTCCACCTTTTACAGATGGTATAGTAAGGCATTAACAGACAGTTACTTCCCCAAGTTACATACACAGTAAGGGGTGGAGCTGGTGTTGGAATCCAAGAAACCCACTGGAAAACTAGCACACAGTAACTCCTGGAGCAGCCATGTCTTCAGACTCGTATTTATTTCCTAGGTGAGAGGTGCAAATCTTTGTACAAAGAAACAGTCACACGTGGGTCAGATCTCAGCTCTGTAGCTTATGTGATCCTGGACAAGGTGTTGATCCATCTGAGTCAGCATAGCACAGCAGAACCTTCCAGTAGGGTTGTTGCCCAAATTAAATGATATTCTCCTGCTACCCTACACATTAATTCTCAGTGTTGGGTGAATGGAAGAACCAAGCAGTCCACCATTTCAACAAGTTGAGTTTTATTATAGAAACACTGGAGAACGGTTGGCAGTGGTCTGGAAGAGACGTATCTGGAGCAGATGCACGCTCAGCTGCTTTCTGAGCCCTCAGACACCTGCCATGACTCTGGGCAGGCAGTGGTGTTCCTCAAAGGGCCCATTCCACTCCCTCCACGTCAGCAAGCCATGGGACAGAGAGTACCTGGGAGGTGGAAGACTTGGGAAAGTTGAGCTGAGGTGGAGCAGGCTCGCTAGAAAGAACAGCAGGGATCGTTTCTAAGGAACAGGACAAAGGGAGAGAAATGTGTCCGTGCGTTTGTTTATGCCTTCATACATTCTCAAGCTTCTTGCCTTGTGCCATCCCCCACCCACTCCCATAGGGCTTGGCATGACCAGCCCCAAGCTCACCACTTCCCACTTTCACCCTGGACCACAATCCTCTTTCAACTATTTTTCCCTCCCCCCACCAGGCTGTCCCACCAGCCAGAACACACCCCTCTCAGACCTCATCAGGGCTGGCTCTTCCTCATCACTCAGCACAGCTGTCTCCTTCTTAGAGAAGGGCTCTTCCAGCCACTCGGGGAAGAAGCCACCCCTACAGTCCCACTCTGTCCACAGCACCTGTGAGATGGCTTATTTGCCACTGCCCCACCTCCCTCGAGAGGTTGCTTCCTGAGACCAGAGGAGGCCGTGCTGGTCCCTCATCCCACCACACTGGAGGTGTGCAGAGTTATGCAGGAAGTAAATATACAAGGGTACTTCAGAAAGTTTATAGGAAAGAAATTGAAATCCATGCATGTTTCTTTCATAATATTTTCTATGAACTTGTTTTAAGGCCCCTCACATTCAAAATTTTCTGCATTAAAATAAACATCTTTCAATTCCATTTTCCATGAACTTTTTGATGTGTCTTCACGCCATATAAGGTTTGCTTGTGGGCGCTGGAATCCTGGTGACGGACTGGGTTTCATCTTGCTCCTAGAGGGGCTCAGTCTAGTGGTCTGCAAACTGTGTTCTAGGGAGCCAGCTCCAAATTTGGAAATTTTTTGTAATTGTTTTTGCAACTGACATAATAAAACAAAGTTTACCATTTTAAGCATTTTCAAGTGTACAGTTCTCACTGTGCAACCATCGCCAGTTTCAAACAGAGCATTTTCATCAACCAGAAAAACGGCTCATGAAGCAAGTACTCCCTTTCTCCTGCCCCTCCACCTCTGGCAACTACAGATCCACTCTCTGCCTCTGAACCTGCTTATTCTGAGTGTCAGCATAAATGGGGAGGGGCAGGGAATGCTGAATGGCTACAGAAGTTACTTTGAAATGATGGACATTTTCTGTAAATGGATAGTAGTAACGGTGCCCTACACTGTGAGTACTAAACTAATGGTAAATTTGTGTTTTGTGCATTTTGCCACAGTTTCTGAAAATCGACAATAAAATGTGTGGAAGAATGTGTGAGTTCCTCCAGAAGTACATGTACTGTGCTTCACTGGACTTGTCGAACAGTGGCTTGGAATTACAGGGGATGCACTCAGGACTTCGTGCAGCTGTGGGATTCTGTAATTGGAGCTTGCAAACCCACTTACCATTCCCAACCTCAAGTGCCAGGCGGTTGGAATGAATTGCTCCCCGCCCGCCCAGCCCCAGCATGGGCAGATTCCCCTTTGCTGCGTGGCATACCTGATATCCAGTTCTTGGTTGCAGTAGTGGCAGTAACACTTGGGAGGTTGACAAGGCAGGGAATGGGAACAGAGGAAGAAGCAGTTGAGGTGAGGCCAGTAAGCTCCCTTCCCTGCCTTTCCTGCCTTCCTCCATCTCCGCTCCTCCCCTCCTATCGTGACTTCCTGTGGTCCTGCTGACCTGTCCAGCCTAGCCTCACCTCTCACTGCTCACGTTCTACTTCATCGTCCCAGCCAATTGTCCTCACACCATAGGCAACACCATCCACTAACCCAGGGATGTCTCATGAAGTTGGGGCATGGAACAACATCCCTGGTCTCCACCTACTAGGTGTTAATAGCACTCCCTCTCCTAGTTGTGACAACCATATGTGATCCCAGACACTGCCAAGTGGCCCCTGGGTGGCACTCACTCCTGTCTGAGAACCGCTAGTCTATCCACGGGCTCAAGTTGAAGTCTGGGGCCCATCTCATTTACTTCACACCGCATCCTCCAGCAGTTCTTTGTGGAGCTACTGTAAATGTCTCCTCATCTCCACCGCCATCACCAGATTCCCTGCCCCGACTGTGGGACCTCCACCTCTCACTCTCTGCCCCCACCAGCATCACCAGATCCCCTGCCCCGACTGTGGGACCTCCACCTCTCACTCTCTACCCCCACCACCATCACCAGATCCTCTGCCCCGACTATGGGACCTCCACCTCTCACTCTCTACCCCCACCACCATCACCAGATCCTCTGCCCCGACTATGGGACCTCCACCTCTCACTCTCTGCCCCCACTGCCGTCACCAGATCCCCTGCCCCGACTGTGGGACCTCCACCTCTCACTCTCTACCCCCACCATCACCAGATCCCTGCCCCGACTGTGGGACCTCCACCTCTCACTCTCTGCCCCCACCGTCGTCACCAGATCCCCTGCCCCGACTGTGGGACCTCCACCTCTTGGTCTTTCTGCCCCCACTGCCGTCACCAGATCCCCTGCCCCGACTGTGGGACCTCCACCTCTCGGTCTCTGCTTCTACCAGCATCACCAGATCCCCTGCCCTGACTGTGGGACCTCCACCTCTCACTCTCTGCCCCCACCGCCGTCACCAGATCCCCTGCCCCGACTGTGGGACCTCCACCTCTCGGTCTTTCTGCCCCCACTGCAGTCACCAGATCCCCTGCCCTGACTGTGGGACCTCTACCTCTCACTCTCTGCCCCCACCACCATCACCAGATCCTCTGCCCCGACTATGGGACCTCCACCTCTCGGTCTCTGCTTCTACCAGCATCACCAGATCCCCTGCCCCGACTGTGGGACCTCCACCTCTCACTCTCTGCCCCCACCACCATCACCAGATCCCCTGCCCCGACTGTGGGACCTCCACCTCTCACTCTCTGCCCCCACCGCCGTCACCAGATCCCCTGCCCCGACTGTGGGACCTCCACCTCTCGGTCTTTCTGCCCCCACCACCGTCACCAGATCCCCTGCCCCGACTGTGGGACCTCTACCTTTCGGTCTCTGCTTCTACCAGCATCACCAGATCCTCTGCCCCGACTGTGGGACCTCCACATCTCACTCTTTGCCCCCACCGCCGTCACCAGATCCCCTGCCCAACTGGGATCTCCACCTCTTGGTCTCTGCTTCCACTCTTGGCCTGATTCCTGCTGCCTCTGCACACATACCACCCAGAGCAATCTTTCCACAACTCAAATCAGATCTCGCTGATGGCTCTCCACCACCCTTAGAAGAGAATTTTCCCCTGGCCCTGGCCTGTGAGGACCCTATGCTAGCTCTGCCCCTTGTACACAGTGCTTCTCTTCCTCTGAGCCTGCCTTGCATGTTTGCTTTGCTCCCAGTAGTTGTCCCTGAGCAACTCACAACCCAAGATCCTTCTACCCACACATCTCTGTCCAAATTATCTCCCCGGGAAAAGCAGCCCGCTGCCCTGCATGTCCTGTGATATCACCCTGACTTCATGCATTGGTTTTGGAGCTTGGTGCTTGTTTATCCATAGTCCTTCTGCCACTGTCATGTGAACCCTGTGGGCTCAAGGACCTCATGGATTTTGTTCTCTCCAGAACCCTCAGCACCTTGCGTGGGCCTGCTACACACATGTGTGAGGAACAGATAGATGACTACTTCTTTCTTGCACTTTGCCTTATTACGGAGTCTTTGCACACGGTGGCCCCTCTTCTTGGGAGCACCCTTCCCTAATTTCTGCTCCTCAGTAGCTAATTCCATCCTTCCCGTTAAGAGAGAATGAAGGGATCTCTTTGAGGAAGCTTCCATGAGCTCACACCCACCCTTCCTCAAGGAGGAGGATGGGATAAGAGCAGTCGCCTACTGCACTGACAGCCCTGGAGGACCTATGAGATACAGCCACTCGCTAACGTGGGCATCTCCTGGGATGCCCATCTCCCTCGCAAAACTAAGACCTGCTCAAAGGGGACTTGTTCAGTAGAATCCCCAGCAGCCATAAAAGACTTGGTCCCAGAAAACCTCCCTTATGTGAAGACAGACAGAGAATGAGAATGAGGAATGGGCATATTTCACAGAAAACCCCAGGGCTGTGCTGGTGCAGAATGGAGTGGCTGTTATCCCAGCCCTGGGAGGGGAGGGTGCTCCGCGCAGAGATCTCTCTCCTACCTTAAATGGCCTGGAACGGCTTGAGCTCCCTTTGTTCCCCTTCTGTCTGCATCACCTCCTCTTCCTCTTTCTTCCTAGCCTCCCCTACTTCTCCCTCTTCCCTCCATAATAGAAAGACCGCCGTGGGAATGGACCCCTCCTTACCCAGTCTCCTTTGTTGTAGGACGTGAAGAAGAAGGTCATCATCATGTAGGCACATTTCAAAAAGTTCCACGAGTTCCTCCTTGGGAACGGTCTCTTGGAAGGGGTGGTGGCTGGGGTGAGCTTCACTGGAGAGAACCGACAGGCATGGCTTCACTGAGGGCATGGCCGCTGCCCTCTGCGAGTCTTCATTCTGAGCTGCACGCCCCACCTCCACCTGCTGGCTGTTGCTGCTGCTGGCTTTCCCCCATGCGAAGTAGTGCTCACCGTCCCTGACAAAGTGTCCGTCTTCTTGAGCTCTCTCCTTCCTCACCTCCAAACATTGCCAAGTCTGCCTCCGTGTTTCCCAGCTCTCTCACCAAACCACCTGTCCTCATGGTCCCAGCCTCCCAGGCTCTCTTGGTCATGATTTCAGCCCATCTTCTGGCTGACCATCACTTCCTCACTTCAAACCTAACAGGATGAGTGGGAATTGGGCGCTGTGGCTTAGACACCACGTGAGATACCTGCATCCCACATAAGAGGACCTGGGCTCAAGGCACCCTGGGAGGTAGCAGGTGATGATTCAAGTAATTTGCCTCCTGCCTCTCATGCGGGAGACCCAAATTGAGCTCTGGGCTCCTGGCCTTGGCCTGGCAAAGCCCTGGCTGTTGTGAGCACTTGGGGAGTGACCCAGCAGACACAGGATTTCTATCTTTCAGTCTTTCGACAAATAAAAACAAAAATTTGTTTAAAAAAAAAAGGTTACAACCCGGGGCTGGCGCTGTGGCATAGTGGGTAAAGCCACCTCCTGCAGTGCCAGCATCCCATATGGGCTCACTGCTCCACTTCTGATCCAGCTCTCTACTATGGCCTGGGAAAGCAGAGGATGGCCCAAGTCCTTGGGCCCCTGAACCCTTGTGGGAGACCAGAAGAAGCTATTGGCTCCTGGCTTTGGGTCAGTGCAGCTCCAGTCATTGTGGCCATCTGGGGAGTGAACCAGCAAATGGAAGACCTCTCTCTCTCTCACAGTCTACAACTCTAGCTCTCAAAAAAAAATTAATAATAATATCTTTAAAAAATAATAAAAGTATTATATCTAGAAAACTGAAATTTTTACAAATAAACATGCCTGTTTAAACAATTCCTAAATCAAAAAGGTGGGACATTACTAGTATAAAGGTAAATGCAAATGAAAAATAATCCTCCCTATTGAGAATTAGGACAAAATTTCCTCTGCCTTTTTCTTACAAAACCCAGTTTAGAAAACTTGTCTCTTTGAAATGGGTACAAATCTCTTCAAAAGCCAACTAAGCACTTTGCCAGTAGTATGACCTTGATTATGACCTCGGATGTTTTTCTCAAGGACCTCAGAGCCATCTCTTGGAAGCCTAAACATTGAGGAAAGTAGTACTGCTTTTCTCACAGCTCCTGAGAGAGGGGCTTTGGTGGGTATCTCGCTGCAAGTTGTAAAGCCGCCTGCTGCTTGTTAGACGGGAGAAGTGAGTCTTGTCTTCGGATAAAGCTGGCGCAGGTGGTCACCTTGTCCTTGGGCCCCTGCACCCTTTCCAGGTGATGTAGCAGGAGCCTCAGATGACAAGTGCTGTCAGCTCTCCCGCGCAGGCTCACTGCTCTTCACCTGGAGAATGTGATTGCAATGGTGGTGCCTGCGCGGCCATAGAAGAGCCCAGGGCTTCTCTGTCACTGCAGCCCCTCCGTTTGTATCTGACCCACTGCCTCTGCAGTAATAAAATTGCTCTGTCTGCTGCCTTGTTGGAGAGGTCTTCTGGTTGTGCCAGATTTCCTTGGCTGTGTGGCTGAAGGATATCCTTTTATGATACGGTTTCCATTACTTTCTTTCAGCCTACTCATTAAATGTTTTCATCATTGCATATTTTTCTTTTTAGTTTAAGAGTTATATAGCCTAGGGCTGGCACTGTGGCTTAGTATGTTAAGCTCCTGCCTGTGGCGCCAGCATCCCTTATGGGTGCCAGTTTGCTTCCCAGCTGCTCCATTTCCCCTCCAGCTCCGTGCTAATGGCCTGAGAAGCAGTGCAAGATGGCCCAAGTGCTTGGGCCTCTACACCCATGTAGGAGACCCAGAAGAAGCTCCCAGCTCCACCCATTGTGGCCATTTGGGGAGTGAACCAGTAGATAGTTTGTCTGTCTCTCCCTGTCTCTGTCTCTCAAATAAATAAATTTAAGAAAAAAGTTATGTAGTCTTCAACCATTCTTTAGTGGTTATAGATTATACCATCCATCCTCAACATAATAGGTTTTAATGCTATTTCTTTTACCACTTATTTATTTATACTACTTAAAAGGCAATGTTACACAGAGACAGGGAGAGACGGAGAGAGATCTTCCATTCATTTGTTCACTCCCCAGATGGCAGAAACAGGAGCCGGGAGCTTCTTCCAGGTCTCCCACATGGGTTTAAGGGCCAGAGGACTTGAGCCATCTTCCATTGCTTTCCTAGGCACATTAGCAGGAAGCTGGATTGGAAGTGGAGTAACCAGGACACAAATCAGCACCTATATAGGATGCTGGTGTTGCAGGCAATGGCTTAACCCTCTATGCCACCACGCCAGCCCCCAGCACTTCTTTAATACTACTTATTGTTACCACTGTTTCCACGCCTCTGTGCAATGCTAGGAACATGTTAACATCTTCCTGCTCCAACCTTGCTATTGTTACTATGAATTTTCTTAATTCCTGCTAGATACTAGTGTTGTTTCATTCTATTAATGTTCATTTTTACTTAGCCATGTATTTGCTTTTTCCATTGTTTTTAGTCCATCTTAGAATTCATGGTTCCATATGGGATATCTTCTTTCTTCCTGAAGTATTTCCTTTCGTGTTTCCTTAGTATACCTTAACTAGCAACAAATTTTGTGTTTGGATTTTTTTCTGGAAAGTATTTTGCATCCATTTCTAAACATGCGGAGTTCCAGGTGAGCAGTCCTCTTCCAGCTCCGGAAGCCTCTCGTGCCCTCACCTTCTGTCTCTGATCACTCCCACTGAGGGGCTGCTGTCATTCATCTCTGCACCTTGGATGGCAATGTCTCTATTGTGGGCTGAGTTGTGTCTCCCCCAGAGACAGGGTTAGGTCCTAACCCCCAGTGCCTGGGAACGAGAGTCTAGTTGGAATCAGGTCTTTCCAGACACAGTCAGTTAAGGTCAGATCCCACCGGATTAGGGTGGTGCCAGTCCAGCCACTGGTGCCCCATCAGAGAGGGAAGGTTCGGATGCAGGGCGCACAGGAAGAGCACGGTGTGACGGCAGAGGCAGTGACGACAGGTGCTGTGATGAGCCGAGGAATGCCGGATGGATGGTGACCACCGGAAGCTGGGAGAGGCAAGGAAGAGCCCCTCCCTGGCGCTTCTGAAGGCGGCACGGCGGCCCCACGCCGACTCCAGACTTCCGGGCGTCATTGCCGTGAGACGGCGAGTTCCTGCTCCTCGAAGCCGCCCCAGGAGACAGATCCCGGTGTCTCTGCTTTGCACCCGTGTTCTAGGAACGCTTTTCTGTGTAGTCCTTGCCCTTGAGGTTCTCAGGGTTTTAAAAATCTTTTGCTTGATGGTGCCTTTGATCGGTATGCAAATTTCTCAGTCACGAACCCACCTGATATTTTCTCGGCTTCATTGTCTCTTGCTTCTCCTTCTGAAATTCCAATTTCACACAGCACAGCTTTTCACTGCCTCATACGTCTCTGTTGCTCTTGTCAACAGTTTCCAATTTTATCCATTGTGCTTTGATTTTCATATTTTCTCCTGACCTGTTTTCTAGCTCCCTGGTTGTCCTATTGCTAAGCCCAATAGAAGAAATTGAATTCTTAATTTTGGTTGCATGTTTTAAATTCTAGAATTTCTATATTTCATGTCATAATTTTCTGGTGGCATTGCCCTGTCCTCTTAATAATCCTGGTTATCATAAAGCACTTATTTTCGACATCTGGGTCACCTGAGGTTTGTCTTCCCTGGTTTCATTTCTTTTGGTTTTCAGCTGCACAGTCCTGTTACTCAGGACTTTTCTGGAACTGGCCAGAGGTAAAGAGAGGGTCCGGCAGTCCGCAGAAAGCACATGAGATGAGTAAAGATGTGCCCCTCCTACCTCAGTCGGGTCTCCTATCCCAGAGCCGCACGTGGGGCCCGCCTACCTCAGTCGGGTCTCCTATCCCAGAGCCGCACGTGGGCCCGCCTACCTCAGTCGGGTCTCCTATCCCAGAGCCACACGGTGGGGCCCGCCTACCTCAGTCGGGTCTCCTATCACAGAGCCACACGTGGGGCCTGCCTACCTCAGTCGGGTCTCCTATCCCAGAGCCACACGTGGGGCCCGCCTACCTCAGTCGGGTCTCCTATCACAGAGCCGCACGTGGGGCCCGCCTACCTCAGTCGGGTCTCCTATCCCAGAGCCGCATGGTGGGGGCCCCACCTACCTCAGTCTGGTCTCCTATCCCAGAGCCGCACGTGGGGCCCGCCTACCTCAGTCGGGTCTCCTATCCCAGAGCCGCACGTGGGGCCCGCCTACCTCAGTCGGGTCTCCTATCCTAGAGCCACACATGGGGACAGGGCGGTCTGCAGGCTGAGGTACCTTGTGAGAGCAGCCTCTCGGACACAGGGCCTCTAACCTGGACCTCCTGCGACCCTCTCCTCTGGAGTCTCCATCACAACCCAGACCAAGGGAGCCCCCACCTCTGGGTGGAAAAGGCAGGGCCCTGGGGCCTGCGTTGTGCCGTAGGGAGTTAAGCTGCCACCTGCAATGCCAGCATCCTATATGGGCACTGACTCAAGTCCCAGCTGCTCCACTTCCCATTCAGCTCAAAGTGCTTGGGCCCCTGCACCCATGTGGGAGACCCGGAGGAGGCTCCTGGCTCCTGGCTTCAGCTTGGCCCTGCCCAGGCTGTTGTAGCCATTTAGGTGTTTTGTTTTGTTATGTTGTTTTTTGTTTTCTTTTACAGGCAGAGTTAGACAGTGAGAGAGAGAGAGACAGCGAGAAAGGTCTTCCTTCCGTTGGTTCACCCCCGAAATGGCTGTCACGGCCGGTGCGCAGCGCCGATCTGAAGCCAGGAGCCAGGTGCTTCCTCCTGGTCTCCCATGCGGGTGCAGGGCCCAAGCACTTGGGCCATCCTCCACTGCCTTCCTGGGCCACAGCAGAGAGCTGGCCTGGAAGAGGAGCAACCGGGACAGAACCGGCGCCCCAACTGGGACTAGAACCTGGAGTGCCAGCACCACTGGTGGAGGATTAGCCTAGTGAGCCACGGCGCCTGCCTGTTGTAGCCATTTAAAGAGTGAGCCAGCAGATAGAAGACCTCTCTCACTGTTTCTCCCTAACTCTGCCTTTCAAATGAATAAAAAAATTTTTTTGACAGGCAGAGTGGACAGTGAGAGAGAGAGACAGGGAGAAAGGTCTTCCTTTTTTCGTTGGTTCACCCCCCCAATGGCCACTATGGCCGGCGCACCACGCCAATCCGAAGCCAGGAGCCAGGTGCTTCTCCTGGTCTCCCTTGTGGGTGCAGGACCCAAGCACTTGGGCCATCCTCCACTGCACTCCCAGCCACAGCAGAGAGCTGGACTGGAAGAGGAGCAACCGGGACAGAATCCGGCGCCCCAACAGAGACTAGAACCCGGTGTGCCAGCGCCGCGGGTGGAGGATTAGCCCAGTGAGCCATGGCGCTGGCCATAAATCTTTTTTAAAAAAGAAAAGAAAAAGAGAGGGCAGGGCCCCAAGCACTCACCTTCTTCCTTGCAGTCATTTGTTTCTTCTAAAATGGGGAAGGAAGGAGGAGGGGCAGCAAGAGGAGAGAGAAAGAGAAGGCAGGGAGGGAGAGATTGGGGAGGAGGAAGAGAGGGAGGAAGAAGGAGACAGGGAGGGAGGAAGAAGGAGACAGGGAGGGAAGAAGAGAGGAAGAGGTGGAGGGAATAAGGGGCAGAGGGAGGGAGGGAAGAAGGGAGAAAAAACAAAATACTCACTGAATTATGAAATAGGTGGAAACTGTAATCAGTGATCTTGGGTGTATTGGGCGCGGAGAGAAGGGAATGCTATGGGCCTCCTTGGTGTTCCTTGGTCCCAGCACTCCCCTGCCTCGGGGCCTTTGCACATGCTGTTCCCTCTGCCTGGAATGCTCTGCCCCCTCACACACATCTGGCTGCCTCACCTCCTTCAAGTCTGCTCAGATGTCACCTTCCCTGCTGGTCCTTTAAAAACATCTCAGCTTCTCCCACATCCTTCCCCTCTGCCTCACCCAACAGCTGTGTAACCTGCTTCTTTATCGTCTCCTTTCTTTCTCTTATTGGAATGCAAGCTGCATTCAGGCTCGTATTTCTGTTTTATTCCCTGCTATATCTCTAATACCTAGAATAAGACTCCGCATAGAGTAGCTAACATTAATTGATATTTGTTGGACGAATGGAAAAAGTTAACATTTTCTGCTGCCAACAATGGTTGGTTTGATGTTATTTAAAGTCTTCCAACATAAAAAGAAAAAAGTGAACAGCACTGTATTTCTGTGTCGGGGAGAATCATGGGGCCCAGTAGCCATCACCAGACTCACCACTCAACACCTGCAGGCTCAGCAAACCTGAAAGAAAGCAACAAACAAACAGAGTCCCAACAAGAGGCGATGAGACAAATACCACAGACCAACGGGTTCAGCAACCTTGCCCAGAGCTGCTGCTACTCTGAGAGGTACTACTGGTCTCCCTGGCACTGTCCTCACTTCTTCTCCGTCGGGCCATTGGCTTATATTATAATACAAAGTTCTGTCTTGTCTGCCTTCTCCATCAGATGTAATAAAGGATCTGTCACTTGTCAACCTCCTCCATCAGATTATAATACAAGGATCTGTCACTCATCTGCTCCTCCATCAGACTATGAGTTTATGGAGAGGTATGAGCAGGTGAGATTAAGGTTCCAGGTTCCCCATACTCTGCATGGTCCTGTCATATTCTAGGCAATTAAAAAAATATATATTCTTGATGAGCAAGCCCCAGGACATGTGTGCAGGGAGGTACTTACCTAGGATCTCTGATGTCATCCATTCAGAGGAAGTGTGGTCCAGGAGGTGGGCACAGGTCAAGGATGCAGACAGGGTCCAGAGTGTTGAGTCCCAAGGGCCGTGGAAGGAGAGGCCAGAGCAGGAGACACAATCACACCATCAGAAGGCAGAGGGACGGGGAGTGGCTGGAACAGAGCTTAGGACAGATCTTAGCGAGCAGTTAGACTACAGCAGCGAACGGGAGCAGAGCATCATGTGGGTGGCGTTGGGGGACCTACAGTGGTCAATTTCTCAGACACAGGAAGTAAAATAGTGGCTGCCAAGGACCTGGGGAAGGGGGAGAGTGGGACTGGCTGCTTAATGGGTTTGGGGCCTCCTTCTGGGGTGAAGAGAAGTCCTGGCACTAGATTGGGGTGGTAGTTGCACAACACTGCAATTGTGCCATGTGTTACCATATCATATAAAGTGGCAAAGGTGGTATGGTTGGGTTTTTTTGTTTTGTTTTGTTTTAGATTTTATTTATTTATTTGAGAGAGTTACATATGGGGAGAGACAGAATGGTCTTCCATCTGCTGGTTCAGTCCCCAAATGGCCGCAATGGCGGAGCTGTGCCGATCTGAAGCCAGGAGCCAGGAGCTTCCTCCTGGTATCCCACGTGAGTGCAAGGGCCCAAGCACTTGGGCCATCTTCTGCTGCTTTTCCCAGGCCATTAGCAGGGAGTTAAATTTTAAGTGGAGCAGCCAGACTCGAACCGGTGCCTACCTGGGATGCCAGCACTGCATGTGGAGGCTTAGCCTACTATGCCACAGTGCCGGCCGTGGGTGGTAAGTTTTACGTTACATATTTTACCACAAAAAAAATCAAAGAGAGCATGTGACTTCTTTGTCAAACAGTGACCTTTTTCAGCAATGGCCTCATGAGATAGCCAGAGCTGGACTCTGGAAGGAGAGTCTGGCTGTGCACAGGACAGTGAGCAACACAGCCACATGGTTAAGCCATAGCGTCAGACTGGTGTCCACCACCACCCACCTTGTGCCTCCAGCAAAGTGCACCGGCGCTGTGGCACAGAGGTTAATCCTTCACCTGCAGCGCTGGCGTCCCATATGGGTGCCCATTCAAGTCCCAGCTGCTCTTCTTCTGATCCACCTCCCTGCTATGGAAAACAATGGAAGATGGCCCAACTTCTTGGGCCCCTGCACCAGTGTGGGAGACCCGGAAGAAGCTCCTGGCTCCTGGCTTCCGATCGGCTCAGCTGCAGCTGTTGCGGCCATTTGGGGAGTGAAGCAGTGGATGGAAGACCTCCCTCTCTCTGCCTCTGACTGTAACTCTACCTCTCAAATAAATAAATAAAAAGTTAAAAACAGACACCCCACCTGTTCAAAGGTGAAAATGATGGAGCTATTATTCTTCCAGAAAAGGGTGGTCAGATTCTGAGGGAGGATCTGGGGCAGAGAAGAATGGGAGTGAGTGGAAGGGCCAACGTGTGCCCCGAGAATCTTACGTTTCAGTACTGTTGACACGCAAGCATCCAGGAGGACATCCAGTCAGTCATTGGGCAGCAGCAGGCGTGCAGGTCAGGAGGAAGAGATAGGGTCAAAATGCTTCTGTCCTGCTCACCCACCCTGCTGGTCCTCAGGGCAAAGGGGAAATGGCAGTGCCTTCCAGGGCTTACAGAATGGGCTGGGGGATGGGCAGGGGCTCTGGAAACTTCCAGGACACTTGACTCCTCTGGAGACACTGTTATCCCCCAGGCAGAGTCCTCAGGTGCCCAGTTCCCTTAAGATATGCCCTTCAGAGGTTAGGGAGATGAGCAGAGGGGCATTAGCCAATGCCCATTGTTCTCTGTTGTCTCTTCCTAGGAAGTCTGGAGGGGGAAAGCTGAGGAGGGACTGGGCCACTTGCCCTTGGTTCTCCTTATTCCATGTCCTCCGCACAGATGTGCCCACCTCAGTCCTTCCTGGTGTTCTGGTCCTCAGTCCTTGAGAGTCCTTATGAAACCCTGCTCAACACTTGGGGACTTGAGTGGCTAAGGGATCACCTTCCTGCCCACACGGTGTGGTGCAACTCCAGACCCACATGTGCCTGGGCACATCTCACAACTCCCTGTGCAATCACAGGATCAGGGAGTCTTCAGCCAGTCCCCAGCCTCCTTCAGGGATGGAGGCCATGGACAGAGGGTTTCCCTCAACCTGTGTCCTAAATTGAGAAGATCTACCTGGAGATCTCTTTCTTGTTTCCTCTCCTTCCCCACATCTAGAAACATTCCAGTTTCAAAAAAAAAAAAAAAGGAAAAATAACTTACTTTTCACTGGAGCATACCGCCAACCAGCCATCAAGGAATCAATATGAAAAAATTAGCAAAAGACAGGGTCAGCATTAGCACCCCTCCTGTCCCTGGTCCATTCCTTTATCCATTCATCAAATATTTTAAAATTATTTAAAACTTTATTTTCAATATACCATTAAAGCACACCAAAATGGAGACCCACCCTGAGTGATTCAGTTAGGCCTCCTATCACCTCAGCCTTGCTTGATCTGCAAACTTAAGTGAACCTTAGCTTGGGCTATTTCTTATAAATACCTACAATGAAAGACAAATAGAACTTAGGTTCACCAATCAGAAGCAGTCAACACCCCTCTATAACTAAGGATTTTCCAACAGTATAGACCAAATAAGGCAGCTCTGTCGCTGTGGCCATCACACATTTTCTCTGCTTCACTTCTGGGTCCATCCTATGAGGGCCTCACTCTGATGGAGCTCCCAAAGCACTTTTGGCCTGGAGCTCCCAACTCATGAATTGTTTGCTCAGATAAGCTCCTTGTAATCTCACTGTGCCTCAGTTTACCATCTAAGCAGTATTAGTGATGCACAGAACATGGGCAAAGAATAGCACAGAGGAGTCCTGTGTCCCCATCACCCATTTTCTCCCAGGGGTGGCCCCTGGTGGAATCAGAGCATGCTATCAAAACTAGCAAATGAGTGCCGGCCCAGTGCAGCTACCTGGACTATAGGCCTTACTAGGTCTCACCAGTCTTATATGCACTCGTTTTTGGTGCTTTACTAAATATTTATTTGATAGTCAAAGGAAGGCTACTATAAAATATTGACATAATAATTATCTTTATAAATGAAGGGAGGGAAATGCATGTAGTAGGGAGTTTAGGTTTAAAGGGCTCAAGCAGAACAGGTGGGTACCATTAAATCACTGCCTCTCTATCTCCAGGGCAGGCTGGGAATATGAGGGAACTTCCGAACACTCAAGGAAAATGAAATGATCAGTTTCTTTCAGCACAAGGAATTTTTTTAAGTCCTTGAATACAAAGGATCTTCAAAAAGTCAATGAAAATGTGTGATATGAAAAAACTATGGATTTCAATTTTTTGCATTAAAGCCTGTTTAACTCGGTTTTTGCACAAACTTTTTGAAGTAGGACTTGAGGCTAAAGAGGGAAGGTCAAGGGGAAAGCACCGTTTCCTTCCTCATCTGCTGCACCCTGGAAAGTGATGGTGCCCCCTGCTAGACCATTGGACTGTGGAGGTGAATTTGGCTGGCCTGTATGGCCAGGGTAGTGTGTGAAGGAACCATCACTTAGGAAGTGTGTTACAAACGCACACCTCGCTCCATCACATAAGTCCTCCTTCTTAGGTCTGAGCTGGGATCCTAGAACTGGATTTTAAGCAAACGCTGAGAGGTGTTGCTGTAGCTCAGACATCAACAAACTTTCTCTGTAAAGAGCCAGATGGGAAATACTATAGGCTGTGCAGTCCATGTGCTCCCAGTTGCAACCACTCAGCTCTGCCCTTGCAGTACAGAAGTGGCCCACGGACAGAACGTGAATCAGTGGGTGTGGCTGTGAGTTAATGAAGCTTGATTGACAAATCAGGCAGCAGGAGTACCGGTTTGCCAAACCTGCTCTATCTCAGTGGTTCTCAAACCATCTGTACCAAATTCTCAAAAGCACCTGGGAAACTTTTCCAAAAACAGTCATAGATCCTAGCCCGTGGTACTCTCATGCAGATGGCTCAAGTGAGGCACAGAAATCTATTTTTTAAAGTTTTTGATTCTCAGCTAACTTGGTGGGGGTGGGGAACTTGGCTTCCATGTGCTGCCGCAAGAGTTCAGCTATAAAGGAAGGTGCTGCCATATTGGTTTTCTTCAACTCCTTTGATCTGAACGTGGATTAGTTGTTGCAAAGGCATTGTTTTCCTTTAAGAAACATTTCTGTTGCCCAACCCTGTGCCATGGACCTAAAAGGTCGGCAAGCCTGCTTCGTCTTCCGAGGACACGGCTCCACCATCCTTCTTCCTCGGGATTTTCCCTCCACTCTCTAAAGGGTCCAGCTCCTTTCTCGCCTCCAGATTCTCACTTTTCCTTCTGGAAGGCTAAAGTGAGGGGGGCTCCTTCTCATTGCAGCAACTTATAGTAAGAAATCTAACTTGAACTTGTAGATGTGCTGGTAATGGCTTGCAAGAGATGATTGTTACAATTGCAGGGATTTTACATGCCAACTCTTAAACCGTTAGCAGCATGAAGTCAGCCAAGATTAGAGTATTTATATCATGGAAGATGACAGTGGCTGGGA